TGACTTCCGGGACGCGTCCCTAATTGAACGCACGAGCGCCCCAACTACACGTGCATATTGAAACTACGGCATTAACTTCCGGGACACGTCTCAAGTGGAACGCACGTGCGTTTCAACTCCAGCGTCGGCTGCCGGGACGCGTCCCACATGGAACGCACGTGCGTTTCACCTCCGAACAATATTGCCGTCCACTTCCTGGTCTCTCTCTGTGTTGCCACAACATGTCTAGATGGAACGCTCGTGCGTTCCATTCATAGCTTCACATTGAGTGACCACTTAATACAGTTCAAAACATAAATTAGCATGCCATCTAAACATATATAATCATCAATAGTAATAAAACAAATAAAATCATAATATTATGTAGTGAATAGTGATATAAAAACTAATACAATCAAAGTGAATAGTGATATAAAAACTAATACAATCAAAGATATCTTTATACAATTTGATTGTATTAGTTTTTATATCACTATTCACTACATAATATTATGATTTTATTTGTTTTATTACTATTGATGATTATATATGTTTAGATGGCATGCTAATTTATGTTTTGAACTGTATTAAGTGGTCACTCAATGTGAAGCTATGAATGGAACGCACGAGCGTTCCATCTAGACATGTTGTGGCAACACAGAGAGAGACCAGGAAGTGGACGGCAATATTGTTCGGAGGTGAAACGCACGTGCGTTCCATGTGGGACGCGTCCCGGCAGCCGACGCTGGAGTTGAAACGCACGTGCGTTCCACTTGAGACGTGTCCCGGAAGTTAATGCCGTAGTTTCAATATGCACGTGTAGTTGGGGCGCTCGTGCGTTCAATTAGGGACGCGTCCCGGAAGTCAACGCCGAAGTTGGAACGCACGTTGCGTTCCAACAAGACGGAACCAGGAAGTGGTATTTAAAGAAGAAAAAACCGGCCGGCGGGATATTTAAAAGAGCAAACATTTGGAAGAGACATTAAAGCCAACTGAGGAAGCCTGTTAATCAGGCGAAACGCGTTTTGGACACTTACTTTTTAACTTTTATTGGACTTTTTATTGGACTCTATCTATTTCCAATATCTATTGGTATAGTATATTGCCATTTTTTTATTATATTATCTTTCATTTTTATTTTGTTTAAATAAACAAATACCAGCTTTTAAAGATCCTCGGTACACTGGGCACCTTTATTGAAGATACACTAAAGATCATCAGGGGGAACAACAAGTAACCAACAAAAGAAGGGTTTGGACAACCCCCCAAATGGTCCAAGGGAGCATACTTTTAGAGTCATATGACGGTATGACTCTAGTCTTGTGAGTTTAACTATGCTTACCTTTTATATGCTATACATTGTATAGATATACTACGCTATTTGCATATATTTTATTTTTCAGATTGTTCAAGATACCATACAGCTCCACCTATAACTCTGTATGTATTGTATTATGTTTTTAGTGGTGTAAGGGATACCACTTTTTAGGTGTTTTAGAGCTATTTATCTGTCCTTCACAGCGTGTATATTATTGTTTTCTATTACTCTCCTGTATGTGATGCAGCCCCGTTTTTGGTTATTATTATTATTTTGTTCTCATTGTCAGTTACCTTACATTTATTTTGTTATTTGATGTCTTGTATAATGTCATTGATACAAGTGGCTTGGTCAGCTAGTTTATCTTGGGCCCAGGCCCGAAGCTTTTCACAGAATGTAATACCTGACTGGTAATCCATATCGGTTGTGAGTACAGCGTCATTAAAACTCCTTTTCATAATGGGCCAATAGAGAGAGGTTACTAGGGTTGCAGCTTGGAATGGGTCGTAACATACATCGGGGGAGCCCCTTCCACTAGTGATAAAGCAGGGACGTGGTTGGCTGGAGTTGCCTGTCTTTGGGAAACCCTATTATTTGAAGGATTGAATGGACTAAGCCCTTGCACATTGTCATCCTTGGGGGGAACCGGGAATGGGAGACCATGAAAGCTGGCAACATCTGGGCTTGAGCGGCTGGAGCATCGGAGCCGGGAGAACCGACAGCGATGGCCTGGGGAGTAACTAACTGGGAGGTAGCGGGATGGAAGCCTGATGCTGCAGGAGAAGCGCCTACAGCTTGAGGCTGTCCTGACACGGTAGATTCATTCGACCCAACGATCATGATTGGGTAACTGGGAGTTGCCATGGGAGAGGCGGGGACAGGAGCCGGACTGGGTGAGGGTGCGGGCTGAGTAGGCGGAGGGAGATGAGTGGAGGGGGCAGAGATGAGTGACGAAAGATCGAGGGAAGGGAGTAACAGGATTAGAGGCTGGAAGAGGAGGGGAATCTGGAACAGGGACAGAAGGGGTGGTGGGGAGAGGAGAGGTAGGAGCAGGAGTAGGGGATATAACAAGGGAAGCAGAGAGGGCGGAAATGAGTGACGAAAGATCGAAGGAGGGAGGGGTAACAGGATTAGAGACGGGAAGAGGAGAGTATTCCGGAACGGAGACAGAAGAGTAGATTCATTCGACCCAACGATCATGATTGGTGGGGAGAGTAGATTCATTCGACCCAACGATCATGATTGGGTAACTGGGAGTTGCCATGGGAGAGGCGGGGAAAGGAGCCGGTGAGGGTGCGGGCTGAGTAGGCGGAGGGAGATGAGTGGAGAGGGCAGAGATGAGTGACGAAAGATCGAGGGAAGGGAGTAACAGGATTAGAGGCGGGAAGAGGAGGGGAATCTGGAACGGGGACAGATTGGGTAACTGGGAGTTGCCATGGGAGAGGCGGGGACAGGAGCCGGACTGGGTGAGGGTGCGGGCTGAGTAGGCGGAAGGAGATGAGTGGAGAGGGCAGAGGGAGATGAGTGGAGAGGGAGTAACAGGATTAGAGGCGGGAAGAGGAAGGGAATCTGGAACGGGGACAGAAGGGGTGATGGGGAGAGGAGAGGTAGGAACAGGAGTAGAGGGAATAGCAAGAGAGGCAGAGAGGGTGGAAATGAGTGACGAAAGATCAAAGGAGGTAGGGGTAACAGGATTAGAGGCGGGAAGAGGAGGGGAATCTGGAACAGAAGGGGTAGTAGGGAGAGGAGAGGAAGAAGCAGGAGTAGGGGGAATAGCGAGGGAAGAGGGGGATATGGATGCGACAGGGGGAACCACGGGTGAAGGCGAGAGGGGAACAGGAGCAGAAGGAACGACAGGGAGAGGAACTAGAGGGGCGTCAGGGGAGCAGGAATAGGAGGAATGACAGGGGAAGATGAGAGAGGGGTGGTGTCGGAAGAAGTGGTGGAGAGAGGTAGCAGACGGACGGCATCAGTAGTGACAAGGGAAGGAGGAAGAGGGGCGGGATCGGAGGGAAGTAGGAGGGGGACAGGGATAATGGGAAGTGTGGAGGTTGGCGGGAGAGGTACAGGGTAATAATAGGATCCATCTGCCCTGAGAGCGGGGTACAGCGCCTTGGAGACAGAATGGCCTTTGACAATTGGAGGTGGCGATTGGGAATTGACTGGTGAGGCGGGGCGAGATTAATTCACGATATTCTGGGCGCCATCATAGGGCGGTGGTCGGGGAACATCAAGAGACGAATCATCGTTACATACATTTCTGTGATATACATAAATCGTCTGTCCTTCAAAATCAATTTCTTCCTCTGACCAACCCTCCCGCTTGAGTCCTCTTGCTACCTGATACCAAGCCTCTACGGCTTCCATCAACCCATTATCCAATAGTAAGCCCTCTTTATCAATAAGCAATTTCCTCCAAAACTCTGGCTGTAATCAACCACTGGGTGACATTTGAAAACCACAAATCTTTGCTATCTTCTTTATTTTTAACATAGCCTCCTCTCCTGCTCTCTCCTTAATGATATCACAAGCTAAATAACCTTTTGAAGTTCTGGCATGTTCTTGTCCCATTTTTACCAAACAAGGCTTTCCCTATAAGAGGGACAGAGAGAGAGAGAGGAAAAAGAAGGAATGTCTACAGTGCTCGACTGCCACGAGGAATTGATCCCCGTGCGTCTTCCCTAAACGTAGACGAGTCACAGGATCCGCCCACCCGAGATGGTGGCCACGGATCTGAGCGAGCGAGCGAGCGTGGGTGACTAACACAGCTCTGGGCAACAAGTACAGAAGAGGTAGAGGATAAGGTAAAAGGTGAACATGGAGAGACTAATCAGAAGACATTTACAGGAGTCACAGATGTAGAGATGTGCACATAATCCGGAATCAAGGACGAGGCACACAGCACACACACACACACACACACACAACTAAGGTACCCACACTATGACTACAACTGTATAGAAAACATAATATAACAAAGTACAGTAAAACTATGAACATAGTAGTAACTAAACAGTACAGCAAAATTCTCAGCCTTTCTCTAGGCCGATGCATTCCCGGCCCGCTAGGCAATCAAGCTACAATAAATCCCCAGCCTTTCTCTAGGCGGTTCCCAGCCCTTCACCGGGCAGACAAAATTCCCAGCTTTTCTCTAGGCGGTTCCCAGCCCTATACCGGGCGGATGCGTTCCCTGCCCGCTAGGCAGTCAAGCTATAATAATAATAAAACATAAACCACACGCCAGCTGTCTCACACGCACACATACACTCAGGAGGCAGATAGACAATCAGCAGGTTCGTTTTAAAAAGACACTGGATAAGAGATTACCTGTTTTGTAGCCTTCTGGAAGCCGGAAGTGGACACAGAGACAGACCGACACAAAACAGGAGAATACTAGCAAACCTCTGTATTTAGGAGGTGACCAGGCTCCGGTTGTCCCACTTTCCGGAGGTCCGCTCCGGTCCCGTTTTCTGGCCGTCCAAACTGGCGAGATCCGGTGACCCACGTCGGGCGCCAAATGATGTGGAATCAATCAATTAATTGATTATCTTGCGTATCTGCCCCCGGCCAAATTAAAGAAATAATGCGTGCACGTTCCTAAAGTAATTCATACCAGACACAGGTTTCGGGTTAATTAAAAACTTGAGGAAAGTTTATTCTGGGGGACGGCATGTCCCTTATAAAGCAAAATTACATCACATGAAAAAATACATCAATAATTTGTTAGGTGTTAAGTGGTTCATTTAGTGCTCTTCCTACCGGGTGTGATGTCACTGGTATCTTGGAGGTCTCCCCCAGATTCCAGTGCCATCTTGTTAATGAGGGTGTTAGTCGATGTTAAAGGGGAAACTCCCTAGCGGCCATTTTAGGTAAATCACATAGAAAGTTGAATAATGCTGATTATAGTTATGTTGAGTAAATAGGCATTTTACTAACATGGATTGGGTTCATATTTTTGTCCACAACAATTATAACTAAATGTTCTTGTGGCAAAAGTAACCTCACCATTGGTTTTTGGAGGGGCCTGTTTGCCAGCCTCCTGCCCTGTGACTATGGCCCTGGGATGTATTGCCCTTCTAGGAACTGATTTGGGCATAATTGTTTTTTATATTGCTGTTCTGGCCCTTTAATTCCCAGAGAAATGATTTGTACTTTTAAACTGGCACTTCGGATGCAGTCGAAGTGCCATTCGAAAACCGAAAACGTGGCGGCAGCCATTTTAATGCAGTCGAACACGGTCAGCGGTGTGTGCCATCAAATCTCTGGAACAGAAATCAGCCACACATTTGAACGAACACCGCTGACCTGTACCTTCCCCTACCCTTCGACACTGCGGCTGGAGACTAAGTTCCATTCGAAGATTTGAACACACGTTCGAATGGGACTTTGTCATCTTTTTCGTGTAAAATAGACTGCCACTCAACTAACGACCACCGCGGTTTTACTTCGACACTTCGTCAGAAGTCGAAGTCCATTCAACTATTTGAACGCCGCCTTCGGATGGGACTTTGTTAATTTTCAAGGCAGAAATAGACCGACCGCACAGCCTGAATCTGTGGAACTGTTTTGGGCATGCGGTCGGTCCAAAGAGACTTTTCAATATCTCTGGAACCACTGAACAGATTTGTACGAATTTTGAATATGTTTGTCCCCAAGTTGTGTTGTTCATAAAAATATAAGTTTTATTCATGTAGGATGAAAAATCATAACGTTATAAAAATGCATAAAAAGTATAAGTTTTAGCTTGGAGATAATTGAGTAGATACAGTAAGAAACTCCATTATCTCCCAAGCGGAGGGGAGGGAATCTGTGGGTTGTAACCATTGTGTGATTGGCTAATGTATAATTGTCTGTGGGCGTCTCCTTTGCATGGGAGAATTGCATAAAAGCAGAGTGTGTGTCATTAAACCAGAGTTCTATTTCACCCTCAATCTGAGTCCTGTCTCTAATTGGGGGAATTGCTATATCACCACAAGGGATTGCTATGCTCTGCATGCTCCCTTGGATAATCACTTCTAAGCTCTTTTAAGAGCTTGTTCCTGTCTTGCTCTCGGAAGGAGTCTACGGTGGTTATGGTGTCGGCTGGAGTGCTTGGAGCCCTCAGGAAGCGCTAGGAGCATCCAATAACAGAGGTACCCAGTCGGGGTGCCAGGTGATCCGTTACAGGGTGGTCCGACACACGGGGATCGGTGCACCGGAGCACCTCCACGTGATTGAAGCTTGCGGTCTGTGGTTTTCACACCTCATTAGCAAGGTGTGAACATTCTAACTAAACATTCTAAATGGGGTATCATGTGGTTAAAAGGTACTTTGCATGATTTAAGGAAAGGGAGAGAATTACAAAGTGGGAACACCCATTCTAGGAGGGCACATCCACACATAGAAAGGGGGCAATTCACAGTTAGGCAGCAGTTCCGTCCCAACATGTTTTTTTTGTATAAAATATTTTGTCTTAAAGGCACAGCACATCTTAGCATATTTTATCTGAACTGCTGATTGCAAATAAACTGCACATTAATGCGTCATTTATCCCACCAGCTGCTCGCACACAGTATGTTATTTATTATTAGCAGCTTTGGGAATGCTAAGCGCTAAATCCCGCTATGCGTGTGCAGTGATAGGATATTCCTTGATCACAGGATGCCAAAGACTTCATTTAGTTCTGACAGACCGATTTGAAACCGAGACACAATGGCAAGGCAGTAGAATAGCACTGACGACAATCAGGAGTATTTGAGTCCTTTAAATGCCAGCATTACTGCTTTACTCCTGCCATGGTTTGCCCACTTTGAATGAATTAAATAATTATACAAACTGATTGTGCTAAAATGCCTACAATAAAGATACTCATGTCAATGGTGGAACAAATTTAGACCTCGTGCAAGGACATTTTTTGGGCCCCTCTCTAGCACAAGAATCTCTTAAAAATAGATCCCATCTGTCGTACAACTCCCATGATGCTGTGCAAGCTGGGGATCTACCATTTTCCCATCCTTCCTGGGTTGTATTTGTGAGCAGTGTTTGTGTGTGTGAATGTAAGCATGCTTTGTTATAGAGTATATTTGTGCATGTAGGGGTGTATTTGTATGTATTGTTGCCATTGGAATGCAGTTGTGTACTTGTGTGTAGTGCAGGGCTTAATAAATTTGTTTAAAATCTAGGAGCCAGGTTTTTTTTTTTTTTTTTAAATAGTGAAGTTTAATTTACGAGAAATATACATTTCTTAAAGGGACACTATAGTCACCAGAACCACTACAGCTTAATGTAGTTGTTCTGGTGCCTGTAGCCTCTTCAATGTAAACACTGCCTTTTCAGATTATAGGCAGTGTTTACATTGCTCCCTAGTAACACCTCGAGTGACAGTCACTCAGACACCACTAGGGAGTCCTCAGCGTGCAGCACCTTTTTTCAGCATCTCCACGCTCTGAATGTTACCTATAGAGGTCATGCACAATATCCTCCCAATGCTTTCCTATACAAAAGCATTGGTTTAGCTGAGATAAAGATTATCTCAGCCATGAAGGCAGGACAAGCCGCAGAAAACTGGCCCGGCATGGGAAAGAAGGTGAGTAGAAACCCCTCTCTCGTGATCAGAGGGGTTCAGGTACCTAAACAGATACAGACACACACACACTCACACTCACAAATTTAAATTTTTAATTTTAATCCCTACCTTTGGGAGAGCTGAGTGGATCTTTCCCTGGGGTCCAGTGGGGCTGCTCTCTGTTCCTCCGTGTTCCTATAGTGATGCTGGGGCCGGAATGACGTTATATGTCGCTCCCGGCATCACTATACAGGGCGAGGGAGCAGAGAGGAGCTGCATGAAGATTACTGCTCCCTCGCGCTTTGCCCCAGCCTGCAGGCACTCTTAAACGGGCACAGTGGGTCCTCTGTTTAGTGATGCCGATTGGGTGGCCCTAAGGGCACTTACGATTGGCACTGCTTGAGTCCCCATAATAGGCAGTGGTTCTCTGCATAATACCAACAGGCTGGCTTCACTGCCAGTGCATCTTGGTATTGCTGAGGGAATAAATATAATGGAGAACAGGAGAACCACTTGTAGGAGGGTTCTCCTGCTCTCTTCTGTCTCTGTTACTAGCATTAGGGCCGGTGTTGACCACTGTAAAATTATAATCACTCTGCTACCTGTTTTATATTTAAAAAAATAAATAATTAAATGAAATTATGTTAGCACAATGTATGTATGTATAAATATATATAAACTAAAGTTGTATGTCTTCAGAGGCACATTAATGATCTTCAATCTTGAACAACATTCTAGTAAGTGAGCCATTATAATGCACAGCAAGTTGTATAATGCTGACCTCTAGTGGCAATGATATGAAACACCAACTTACCATACAGGAGGTTTGAGTTTCACTTTCAAGAAGCGATTTGGAGTTTAGCATTAAATCTGGAATTATGAATAAAAATGGACAAAACACCACAAAAGGAATGGACTGTAGCTCACATTCATAACCTGTTTTATAGTTTGATAAGTTTTCTGGCAATGAATGTTAGTTGTTAAAATAGAAAGGAGGCACCCGCCTCCCCCCTCCTTTCCCCATGGGTTAGGGTTACACACGAACATTGCCCCCCATTATCCACCACGCTCCTGAGGCACATACTCACTTGCTCACATCACACCTTTGACTTAGCCGCCTCATATCAAGCTGCACAGCTCCCACACTAAGCGGTTAGACTGCAACAATCCCGGAATAGATCCTGACCTCTAGTATAACATCAGCAGGAATCAGTTCAGCACACAGCCGGGCACCGTCAGGAATTCACACACCATGACATGATACGCACACGATACTTACCGACACACCATGACATGATACGCACACGATACTAACCGACACACCATGACATGATACTTACCGACACACCATGACATGATACGCACACGATACTTACCGACACACCATGACATGATACGCACACGATACTTACCGACACACCATGACATGATACGCACACGATACTTACCGACACACCAGGACATGATACGCACACGATACTTACCGACACACCATGACATGATACGCACACGATACTTACCGACACACCATGACATGATACGCACACGATACTTACCGACACACCAGGACATGATACGCACACAATACTTACCGACACACCATGAAATGATACACACACAATACTTACAGACACACCATGACATGATACTTACCGACACACCATGACATGATACTTACCGACACACCATGACATGATACTTACCGACACACCATGACATGATACGCACACGATACTTCTCGACACACCATGACATGATACGCACACGATACTTACTGACACACCATGACATGATACGCACACGATACTTACTGACACACCATGACATGATACGCACACGATACTTACCGACACACCATAACATGAAACGCACACGATACTTACCGACACACCATGACACACACCATGACATGATACGCACACGATACTTACCGACACACCAGAACATGATACGCACACGATACTTACCGACACACCATGACATTATACGCACACGATACTTACCGACACACCAGGACATGATACGCACACTATACTTACCGACACACCAGGACATGATACGCACACGATACTAACCGACACACCAGGACATGAAACGCACATGATACTTACCGACACACCATGACATGATACGCACACGATACTTACCGACACACCATGACATGATACGCACACGATACTTACCGACACACCATGACATGATATGCACACGATACTTACCGACACACAAGAACATGATACGCACACGATACTTACCGACACACCATGACATTATACGCACACGATACTTACCGACACACCTTACCGACACACCATGACATGATACGCACACGATACTTACCGACACACCAGGACATGATACGCACACAATACTTACCGACACACCATGAAATGATACGCACACGATACTTACCGACACACCAGGACA